TGGCACTGGGGACAGCGGGGATGGTTGGTGGGGACAAAGGGGACAGCCGGCTGGTACAGAGGGGACAGCAGGGCTGGGACAGCAGGGACACCAGGGATGGTGGGTGGGGACAGAGGGGACACTGGGGATGGCAGCACGAGGGGCTGGGACAGCGGGGAGGGGACATGGGGACACCAGAGAGGGGCCACAGGGACTTGGGGACAGCAGGGAGGGGACACAGGGACACCAGAGATGGGCCACAGGGACTTGGGGACACTTTGGAAGGGACACCGGAGTGTCCTGGGACAAAGCGTGGCGGCGTCACTGCGGTGGGACACGGGTGGGTGGCAGCGGTGGCCTTTGTCCCCAAGCGTGGGTGACACCGCTTTGGGTGGGGGTGAGGCACGGTGGTGTCACCAGGATGCGACCGGCGGTGACAGAGGCGGTGGCCTTTGTCCCCAGCTGATCCTGTTCGGGCTCAGCAACCAGCTGGTGGTGGCCTTCAAGGAGGACAACACGGTGGCCTTCAAGCACCTGTTCCTCAAGGGCTACGAGGACGGCGCCGATGACACCGCGGCCATCTACACCCGCGGGGACCTCCTGGAGCACCTGGCCTTCGTCCTCGAGCAGGTGGGGACATCAGGGGAATTGGGGACATGGGGACCTCCTGGAGCACCATGGAGCCTCCTGGCCTTTGTCCTTGAGAAGGTGGCATTGGGACACCAGGAGGGGTTGGGGACATTGTGGGAAGTTGGGGACGTTGGGAGGGGTTGGGGACATCAGGGGAATTGGGGACAAGGGGACCTCCTGGGGCAGCTGGCCTTCATCCTTGAGAAGGTGGCATTGGGATATTGGACATGCTTGGGGACATCAGGGTAACTGGGGACATGGGGACCTCCTGGAGCAGCTGGCCTTTGTCCTTGAGAAGGTGGCATTGGGACACCAGGAGGGGTTGGGGACATCAGAAGAATTGAGGACATGGTGGTGGTTTGGGGCCATGGAGATGTTTTGGGGTTTGGGGACACTGAGGTGCCACCTCCATCCCTGTGTCCCCGCAGTACCTGGCTGTCCCCAATGAGACCCCTGGGCCACCACGTTTTGGGGACACAGAGATGTTTGGGGACACAGAGATGTTTTGGGG